TTCCACCTTGCCGTTCCATCGTCTTTTTCCCATTGAGACAATTGCGTTAACTGAAACTCCAAGTTCGAAGTGTGTAACCCTTGTAGTCACAGGGATCCAACTGGATTGTTTTGTTTTCCGCAGGGGGACACGGCACCAGATTGCAGACCGTGTCTAACAAAGCTATGCAATCTGGTGGGATATCCAGCTTGGCCAGCTGGACGTACCTGCAATTTTCCTTTTCCGAATTGCAAGAGGCTAAGCCAAGAACCTCGATGCTTAGATGTTTTGTTGTTTTTCTTTGCACTGCAGATGCGAGCGGACCGTCGTCAGCCTGTTCGTTCGTCGTTCGGTTCCTTCCTCTTTGGGCCACTTCTCCGTTTGAAGACCCCCAGGATTCGCTGGTTCCCTACCGGTACTCTTAGGAATTGGAACCCTAGGCCGGCGTGTGGCACCGCTTTCAGTTCCGTATGCATAAGTGATCATAAGTGTGTGTTTGTCGATGTGTCGGTGGAAGATGGTGGAAGAACTCGCGCACATCGCCTGTCAAAGTACATCCAGTGAACCTTCTCCCCGCTGCAGAATATTTTCTGTGATCTCTGGACCATCCGGGTCTTTAGTGCGGAGTGGTGGAGACAGCTGCCTGATCAAAACTGGAAAGTAGTTTGTCATTGTCCATGAGTCTTTTGCTAATATAGGACCATGATAAGAAAGTCTTGGCTTGGTCTTCAATTGCATGGAGTGGTCAAGTTCCTCCTGCCACCCTCTTCCCGCATTAAATACTGGCAATCAACCGAAAGCAGCTAGACTCGCAGGGGAACCTATCCCCTCATGTTTCCATGATTTGCCCACGACATGGGTCAACAGAAGATTCGGCGGCACGCTCATGGAAGTAGAGTTCACCACCGGTTTGTAGAGGAGGGGGCCATCTTATGTCTCCTTAAAGCCGCGGGGCTGCCGCAGCCAGGCGGAGCAACGCCGCTGGCGCGCCTTGGCAGGGTGATTTTGTTACTTGGAAAGACCTGCCAGTGTGCCAGTGAGAAGAGGATTTGGGATCCGAATCCGAAAGACCCAAAAAGCATGGACTGGGCCGGGCACGAGCTGGAGCTGAAAGTTGACTGAGCTCTGCAAGAATTCTCCCAATCCAGCTTGTGAAGGGCCAGCCCATGCGAAGATTGCAGCCATCGATGATGAGCCTTACTCACTGATACAACCAATTAAAGTATTTGAAGGATAAGTTGCTAGCTCCTTCCCAGTGTGAACATTGCATCCACTGTTGGTGCCCCAGCCATTCTTATTTGGTCGACCAACCGATCGATCGACCAAATCGTTCCGGCTGTTTGGGGGGCGGTCCAATTCGATCAGGGCCACGGGCCGGTCCACAGGGCTCCAGCCGTGCCTCAGAAGGTATGACTGGACCCTCCTGGCACCCACCCCAGTCCCACCTTCTTAGAATGTTCTATCCAGATTCTTCCGCGTTGGCACGGGTCACCGTCCGTGTTCTTAGTTTCAGTTCAGCTCCTCCATTCAGCGATGTCTCTGTCGATGTTCGTCGGCGGCGATGTGCGCCTGGCCCTGGTGCTGAGGCCAATGCATATCCGACGCGCAAACTCAGCAATCGGAGCAACAACATTTGCTGGACACGCGCGGCTGCACAGTTGTTGCCGCCGCATTGCTTGAGTCAAACCATGAAACCATCACCCGTAGCAAGCTAGCAGAACCAGAACGAAAACATGCCCAAGGAAAGCGAAAATGGGGGTCCGGGTAGTTCTTTTCTGGGTCACCCGCGAAAATGGGCACGGAGCGTAAGATGATCATGTGCGCATTGCAGTAATACACCCTACCCCCTGGTGAAAAATGGGGGGAACAAAATTAAACTTGTTTGTCGTAATAAACTATATATACTCGCAACAAACCTCAGACCTTAAGAACAGGGAGAAAGTTGGTTTTACTAGTGCAATAGTGGCAATAGTTCTGAAGGATGTTCATTATTGTGCAGGAGAATGTCAGGTCTACTATTGCCACCTAGGAGACAGTTGGAATTCAAGGGTAAATCTATTTTTGACCACTGTATAAATAATTGTATGTCATTGGCACTCGTAAGGACGGCCCTTTGCCAAAACTATTTTGTTGTGTTATATTCTTCAGGATGATTAAATAAATATGTTGATAGTTTTTGGAGGCTAGAAGAATTGAATTTGATTGCTGTTTTTGATGGGTCAGTATTTAAGAACTAATTACATTAGTGGGCGTCCCCCCCTCGCCAATCTTTTTTTACCGATTGTTCGGAGGGGTGAGTAATAATAGTCCTCTGGAGTAGTAGCAGTAGTAGTAGTAGTAGGAGTAGGAGGAGTACTAGTAAGAGTAGTACTAGTACTAGTGGTACTAGTAGTACTTGTAGTACTAGCAGTACTGTAGTAGTAACAGTAGTAGTAGCAGTAGTAGTAGTAGCAGCTTTTGTTTAAAAGAGACATGTAAAGGAAAGCGTTTCAAAGCAAGCCAGGAGCTACAATAGAGAGAGGTGCTATATTTATGGATCCCCTCTCTATTGTGGATCAGGATCCTTGGCACTTATAAGGTGTACCCTTTGCAAGACTGTTGAAGTCAAGCTTTTCAAAAAAGTTGTTCAATTAGACATCGGCAGTTTTAGAAGTTTGAATATTTTAGGTGTTCCTTTATTGTGAAATCTCTTGTTGAAAAGAGAATTGTAAAGGGACGCATTCCAAAGCAAGCCAGGAGCTACAATAGAGAGAGGCGCTATAGTTATGGATCCCCTCTCTATTGTGGATCCTTGGCACTTATCACTTATAAGGGGTACCACTGTTGCAGTGAGGCTTTTCATAAAGGTTTTCAATTAGAAATCGTTAGTTTTGGAAGTTTGGAAGTTGGAGTTGCCCTCTGGAGTCACTGTGGCAGAGCTGGTCTCTTTTCTGGTCTGAGAACTTCTGTGTGTGCAAGAAAAGAATCTGCAACAATATTTATTGTGTTTTCTTTGCTCTTTTGGCGAGTGAATTCTATAAGTATGGATCTGGCTAGGGGGTTTTGGCAAATAATGTGTCCTTTTTGGACGAACATCAAATTTAATTTGGATTTTCTGAAAAATGATACGTTAATTGAGGAATACCCCACAGATATGGGTTTAACATTATTATATAACTAAGTAATTTATATTTGCTGCAATGATATTTTTTGAGAACAACGATTGGTGTATTATTACAATAGTTCAGGAGGACGTTCATTGTTGTACAGGAAAAGCATGGTGTTTAAATTGCTATTATTGCTGCTTAGATGTCCGTTGAAATTGAAAGGAAAGTTGTTCCTTTTAATTGACAGTAGTTCATAATTTCATTTTGAGGGAAGCTAATTATAATGGACCCGCTCTCTATTTTCAACCTGCTGAAAAGGTAGGTGTTTTATTTACAGTAATTTTTATAGTTAGCCGGAAAATGTTTAGATTTATAGCTTGTTCGTTTTTTACTTTTGTGTTTGAACATTTAATTTGATCCAGCACCACCCAAAGGGTTGGCTATTGGAAAATGCATAGCCAGGGGGTCTATCAACCACCCTCTAGGTGGTGCTGGGTAAAAGATGGAGAGGTTGTTTTAGTTGTCTTCGGCCTTGCAGATGTTGCCTCAACTGTGGGGGCCCGTCTCCCAATGGCAAGGCTGATCAGCAGAGGGGAGACAGCAACCAACTCAACCAACCATGTGCACCCCGTGCCTAGATGAAACATAGTACCTGAAAATGGACGGCTGGCAGGCAATATTCCTCTACAAGCAGGTGGCTTTCAGGCTCCAACCCCACCAACCATCTATATAAAGAATCTTATCCCTTGGATGCCCCAAACCTTGGCTGGATGAGGCTGGAATCGCGCCTGGATAATGCTTTGGAGGCCGCTGCGGATGTTGGTCGTCGTCTGGAAAGACAGGCGTTCAGGAAGTTCGACTGAGCATGAGTTGCAACAAGAGATATGAGCCATGGGCATTCCTTGACTTCATTTGAGATTAAAGAGGGCATGGGATCATTTAGCCTTCCCCTGAAACAAGAAGCTTTAGTTGTTCAAGTTCTTTTTCCAGTTGAGCGAACTAGAACAGAATCATTGCATCCCTTACCCTAAAAAGCACAGTCAATCCCTCTTCGGACCGCTGTGCCAAGGATCTTTAGCAAGACGTCATCAGGGAACCCTTTGCCCCCCGCTCCCCTGACAGAGCAGGCGCTGAGCTTTGAATACCAGAGCTTGCGCGCTGCCTTGCCGCAGCCCAATGCCGGACACTTACTGTAGCTTCTAGGGATCTCCCTTCTTTGTGCTTGGACAGGTGAACTTCGTTGAAAAACACGTGGACCTATTCTTGACCTAGTCAGCCCTTGACCCAACCGACCTTTTCTACATGGGCAAAGGAAGAACGTTTCGGTTCAAATCTGCCCGCTCCAGTAACGATGTCAAGTTCACCGTGGAATGAAACGCTAGCAACTCCCATGACTCATGTCACGTGAACCATTCTTCACTTGGGGCTGTCACGTGGGCAGATGAAGATTCCGAGCTTTTGCGCGGCAAACGGCGCGACGCCTAGGCCCAGGCATGTGTTTCAGTCTCTGCAGGCCGCTGTTTGTTTGCGACGTCGGGCGATTGGGGAATAAACTTTTTTGATGATATCAGGTCGGTGATTTACGTGCGGCAAGGAAAGGTGTTTTTGATGTAGGGCAGTACTACTAGTAGCAAGAAGCTACTAGTAGCAAGGTGCCTTACTACTACTGTAGTAGCTTGTCATAGCTTGTTACTACTAGTAAGGGCACCTTGCTACTAGTAGCAAGAAGCTAAGCATAGACGGGAGCTGTGAGCTGGGTGGTTGAGAGGAAGATTTAATCCTCCAACTGACCACAACTAGTTTTTGAGGACTGATCCTCCAACTCACTATATCCAAGGATATATACATATAACTTGTCAAACTGTTTTGGATAATGACTTAACCCTCCAAGTCAATATTGCTTCTATCCCTGGTGTTTGCTTCTGTCTCGTTGAAGCAGAGATCAATGGCTCAACCGAGAGCGATTTGACCTGAAAACCGTGGTGCCAATCCGGGCGCTCAGGTGCCGGAGGCCGGCGCTCCGGGGTGCGTGGAGCTCAGCTGAAGTCCGTGCGACTCGCACTGGAAGATGTGCCGATCAAGCTGTACCCATTTCACCACCCCAATGTACAGTGGGTTCAGAGTAGATGGCACAATCCCCAAGAGGTGCTCTATATACTCTATATGAACCCCCATCAAGATAGGACGTGTAGGGGTGCCAGTGCCGAGCCTCTGAAACCGGCCAATTTGGCCGTTTGATGGAACCTTCCGGGACAGACTCATGAGACTCCGAGCCCTGCGAGCCCTGCGACTCGGTTAGAGGAGGGATTCATGCCTCCCCCGAGAGACGTTTGGACTGGAGGAATTGTCGCACTTCCTCCACCGAGTTGTTTGTTGAGGATCAAGGTTATGTGACTTGCTCCGTGTTTTCTTGTGTCTCGATTCATTCCTTTCCTGTCATCAAGATGTTGGTTCTCTTGGTCGGTCAGGCAATCTCAACACCAGCATTGCCGCGCGCACCATCGCTTGGATCGCGATGACCATCATGAGCAACTGGGAAGAAATTGGGAGGCATCCTTGCTCCTAGTAGCGTCCTTGCTCCTAGAGAGGTCCGGAGAGGTCGAGGGTGGGGATTTGCGTGGACTTGCGTGCTGACACCTGGCTGGCAGAATTTCCATACGCATGCTTTGGTAGGAGGAACTTATTTCTGTATATATATATATATAAGTATATTTATATAGAATCCCCTGCCGAATAACCCCTATAGTGGGGCATTTTGCTCCCAGAGGTTGGTTCAACCATTTATCACTATAGAATGGCGTTCTCAACCCCCACCGGTTAGAGATATGTCGTTCTTGGGGTGGTCACCCGCATGGACGGCCCCCCGTTGGTGCAGTGATGTTCATACCTGTTTCCTCCGGGTCTGGAGGCCAGTGCTGTGTTGTGACGCGTCCCCGTTTTGGCCAGCTGGAGAGCTGACGAACCACCCTTCACTGTGATTGTACCGTAATTGCTCCGGTGGATTTCAGGCGGCCTCACCATCGCCAAGAGGGCTGCGAGGGTCAGCAACTGGGCAACAACTGGGAGGAAGCAATTCCAGTGGTTGAGGGCGTGGATCGATGTAGGAGCTTTCTTGTTTTGTTGCTGCTGATGGTGGGTTTGAGGTTGTTTCCAGAATGAGTTGGCTTGGAGACAATCGCTTAGGATGTTTTATTTTCTTTGTTAGTTCATCTAGCACTTTTGTTTGTTGGGTTTGCGGTATGCTTTTTGAACGAGCTTGAGCTTCCAGAGCCGGCTTTCCTGCCTTGGCTTCGTTGAAAACGGCTTCCTCCTAAAGAGTCAACTGGCTGCTTCCGCTGACCGCCGGCCAGCGTACTGGGCAGCTTAGCAGTCTTTGTGCCAGCTTGACGGACGTGACATTTCTAAAACAAGCCTTAGCTTGGCTTGGAGCTTTTCTTTTGATTTGGGAAGTGGTCTGAACACTGCTTGAACTAGTTTCTAGTTGCAGTCAACTAGCTATTTGCATTATGCATGTATAATCCTCTCGGGAATATAGAATGGAGACCTCGAGGGAGATCAGATTCTGCTATAGAACGTAAAACATGTACACTATATATGAGATTATATGAGTGTTATTTTAAAGCTCTCAAACTAGTGATGTCCGAGATTTACATTTTATAGAGACTTTTTTGGTCACGTTTGAATTGAGGCAACAACCAAAAACATGGTTTTACATTTTGTAGTCTCTTCAGTTTATAGTGAACATGGTTTTGATGTCTATGTTGATTTTATAATGCGTTGATGCTTGGTTGGGAATGCAGTTTATAGAGGCATTATTGGCTTGAATATGTGCATGATTTCATTTTGTAGAGATATCCCGGCCGGCTGAGATTCCTGGCGTAGAGCCCAAAAGCTTTATCCAGCCATGTGATGGTGGACGATGACACCTCCAGAATGCTGTGGTGACAGGAGTTGCTCTTCGTTTCGCTATGTTTGTGTTTCTCTTTTGGGGGGCGCTGTTCTGAACTTGTGACAGTCTGACAAGCGTGAGTGGTCACGGATACAAGAACACAGAACCACACTCCTGCTATAAAATCCAAAGCCCCTATAGAATGTAATCCCTAGCCAACATGTATAAGAAGAGAAACTATGCGAACATCCACTGCCAGTGCATGTTTTGCATTTTATAAGAGCCGGATGTTGTGACCCTTATTTCCAGGTACACTTAGATTAGATGGCCTAAGGGCCCCCCGGTGTTATGGTATTTTCTGCGGGGTGAGGATTGTAGATGGATTCATTTTATAGTACTGTAGCCACCCTGGCTACAAAGGCTGAGTTGTAACTATCAAATGCAAGTCCCAAGTCCCAACCCCTAACCCGTAATTCCCAAGGGGATTATATATACAGCTATTAATTTCTTTTGTATAGTATATATACTGTATATACATAAGCGCATACTGCCTACAACACCAAATGCATCCAAGTGGCATCGACTCTAATATATAGGGGCTCGAAGACATAGAAGATTGTAGATTTGTTCCAGTAACACAAAGAACAACACTTTCCAGGCGAACTCGCCATAAAAGCTACATGTGCTGAGCGTGGATGGATGTTCAATGCATTTGGTATGTCGTCGCCGAAGCACCCTAATTTGGGCAGGTAGGCTTTGAGATAACCTAAACCACTAAACCCTACCAGCGACTGCATCATGTTGGTTTTCCGCTGTCCTAGGCATCATCATCACCACCGTTCGGATCTTAAGATCTTAAGAAGTTGTTTTTCGCTGCGAGAATCACGCCTTCATTCTTCAGTGTTTTGGGGTGCTCATTGTCATGGTGGAGGCTAGGATTGGCACACTCAACAAGAGAAGGAGTGTAACAAGTCTTCCAGCCATACACCATCATACACCTCATTGCAGGCTCTCAAGAGCATGGATGTCCTCATGGTGTTGAGCAGCTTGAGCCTCAGGAATCCTCAGTTGCTTGTGCTATGGTTTTCATGGCTTGTGATTGTACAGTGCTTGTGCTTGTGTGTGTGATACGATGCATGCATGCATGTGCAGTGCAGTGCAGTGCAGTGCGTGCATGCATGTGCAGTGCCGTGCCGTGCCGTGCGTGCGTGGGTGGGTTGGTGAGTGGGTGATGTGGTTTGGTTTGGTTTCGTTTCGTGCGTTGTGGTGTGATGTGGTGGGTGCGTCGGGCTTGTTTTGGAAGAAAGGTTATAAGGTTGAAGGTGTTTGGACATGAGGCCAGGACAGGCTCTACCGGCTGCCCATTCAGAGAGCTCGCATCAGTTCCTTGGAGCAAACATTAATTAGTGCAACACTGTTGGCCTTCAAGTATGACCAAAATACAGACAGGAGTGATCATGTTGAGTGTACTGGTTGCAGATGCAGCCCACTTGCTTCCCCGCATCCTAGGCAGGCTGGACATCAACACCATCGCTCGGATCCTCAAGGTTGGTCCCGATGTTGAAGTCTTACGAAAGTTGTTCTAGCATCAAGTGGGGGAGACGTGCTTCCTCGGACCCATGTTGTAGTATATTGTGAGTTGTCAAGACTTGAGAGAGCAGGAGAACATGCAGCACTTCAGAAGTGTATGAACTGTCGGAGCACAATGAAGCTAGTTGGGCCTATACACCTCATTGCAGGCTCTCAAGCACATGGATGTCCTCATGGTGTTGAGCAGCTTGAGCCTCAGGATTCATCAACGGATTGTGCTATGGTTATCATGGCTCGTGATTGTACAGTGCTTGTGCTTGTGTGTGATGCAATGCGTGTGTGTGTGTGTGTGTGTGTCGCCCCCTGGTCAAAGGGTTTCCTTTCTTGACTTCCACTGCCAATTGTTTCACCAGCAGGGGGGCCAGGCCTGTCACATCCAACCTGGCCCAACGAAGCTGGGATGTGACAGGGGAAGCACCAAAGGACGCTTTGGTGTGCACCTGCCACGCAGCTTTTGCACAAGCTGTCCACCCTACTCTTCCACGTTTTGATTCATGGTTCTTTATGTTTTCCACCCCCAAAAACAGGTTTCAGCCGCTTGCAAACTGCAGCCAGCCGCGCGAGTGAAACATTTTTTCAACAATTCAAGTCACCGGACTTTTCGCCTTGCAGTTCTTCACCATCCTTCCCATCGTGGTAACTGAGTTAACTGAATACAATTGTCAGAGTGTGTTTCGCTCAGCCGTCCCACTCGGGTGCTGAGTGTGATCCCCATCACTGGGGCGCTGTTTCATTGGGAAAGCCTTCACTGAACTCACCACCGCTCACAGGAACTTCACTGGAACTCACCTACACTCCCACAGAATCAACCGCTACCACGGCCGCCGGGCCTTACCACGGGACCTGACCGTTTTCAACATGCTTCGTTTGTGCAAGATCTCAATGCAATTTTCCGCCTGTTTTCAGCATAAGCGCTCAAGCGATCCGACTTGATTTCAAACTGCTTAGTTCGATATGCATGAACACACCAACACTTACTACACTCTACAGGAAGACAACTCTCACTGCTTCACAACTACACCGAATAAACATCAACACAAACATTGCGACCTCTAACTCACACGATTCCAAAACTCGCAGTTTCAGCTGCCGCGCCGCGCCATTTTGAAGCTTTTGCTGCACAGCTGTGACGATCTTCACCAACCTTTTATTGGACACATCATGCAGTACCCCTGGCCGTACCCACAAGCCATACCACCCCCACTACCCGTTCCATCAACACAACCACCGCCACAACCGACAGCGCCTTTGCCACAGCCACATACCACACCAGCATTTCCTTACCCACAACCTCAACCATACCCTGTACCACAACATCAGACATTTCCAGCTCCTCAACCTATGTCGATTCCCACTCCACTTCCCTGTCACTCAGCACCGGCAGTTGCCCCTCCTTATGGCAATCCCAACACATGGACGATGGTAACCCCTTCTCAACCACAATTCACACTGCCACAACGTTTCAACCACCGGCACCACCCCCGTCTTACCTTGTGCAACAACTGCATCACTCCCCCTCCCCAGATCAAGCCACCGCTACACCGATTCAACCTGCCCCCCCCACCTCAGCAAATGCTCTCACCTACCACTACAATTGAACCCCAATGGCACATGCCACAAGGGGTCTGGCAGCCTTATTCAGCATTTCCTCCGGTTACACAACCTGTGCATCCACTCAGCCCCACACCACCACCCGTCTCCCGTGCCACTTCCACCCACAGGGAAGTTGCGCACATCAACGCCGGCCACACAGGCCCTGTTGGCAACATCACAAACATTCTACGACAAGGCCGCTTCCTCCCTAGCACACTCCACTTTGCCAACTATCCTGGCTTTTTTGCCCAGGGCGTACGCATCACCCACGACCAAAACCACGATCATGGCGAATTTGCTCGCATTATTCACAACACCTAAAAACACCCATTCCCTCATCCTCACGCTCCTCGCGTGGGGCGCCGCCACAAAATACACCTCTGGCGGCGAGGAATACGCCATGACCCTGCTGAACGAGCACCACAGAGCTGTCTTTCACCAGAAAGGCAAATGCTGGGTCATCCACCCCGACCACGCCATCGTCAAAGGACTGGCCTGGTCCATCAACGCCACTCCACCGGATCCATGACCTTTCCACTTTCCACTACCACGCAACCACCACTCCCAACTTTTGTTTCACCTGACCACACTCAACTTCGTCACCAGCAGCGAAACACCACTTGCGTTTGTGCAGCGGCTTCAAAGTTGCATTTTGCATGAATCGTGTGTCACATGCCAACCTCACTTTCATGCCGAAGAGTTTGTAAGGGAACTACCACTCATTCTTGTTGCGCTTGATACTTGAATTCAATTTATGTGCATTTTGGCCCGTGTGCTTTGTAATTCACTTGCATGTCTCCGTGCTGTTGCGCTGATCATGCCAGCTGCCGTGCAGCCGATCGCCACGCCACAGCGATAAATGGTGCAGAACTATTTGACTTATCAGCATCCCCAAGACATGACCAGCAACAACTCCCCTCCAAGCGATGACGCCCACACTTTACTACACCAAACGACAGTGGCTCTTTCACAGATTCACAACCTCCTCAGACAAGCAACCGACATTATGGCACATCTTCACACACGGTTTTTGCACCACATTCGACAGGCTGATCCCACTTTCCGCCGACATTTTCAACAACTACCAGCACCTAGCTCCAACATACTCCATCAACTTATCCTCTCCAACTTCTTCCTGTGACTCTGCACCTTCCAGACCACGTGCTCGTCCACCACCACCACCACCCTCGAACCACTCAGATGATACACCTTCTCCTTCCCCTCCACCACAGCTCCTGCCAGCTCGCAAGCGCAAACAACCCCCACCACCGCCACTCAACCCACAGGCGGACTGGGACACCTGGGATGGGGACGCTGACTGTCGCCTCGTCGAGCTCAAAAGCAACCCCAAACTCCGACCCAATTGGATCTTTATTGCCCGACGGGTTGGATATTCCGTCGAACAGTGCCAAGCTCGATGGAAAGAGCTAAAAGACCTGCAGAAGCTACAGGACAACAAACCTCCTCAATCAGCTTCACCACCTGCTGACCTCGAGAAACTGGCACCACCACCACCACCTCGGCTCTCCTCTCCGAACCACATCTCACCTACTCCTACATCCCGGCCAACACACCACCACCACCATCACAGGCCGACTTTTCACCCTCTCCAACGACAACCCCTCGATCCACACACGACATGTCGCCACATGAGGCTTCACCACTGCAGCTGGCTGCGGAGCGAGCGCCTAGTGAGGACAGGCATCCGGAACCACATGAGGACCCGCCAATCGGCAGTTATTTCATTTGATCGGTTTCACCCACTCTCTCCGGCGTGCTACAGGATAAGTTCACCAGCATTCCTCAGCAGTTTGCATTTTTCGCATGTCAGACTCCAGTTTTCAACCTTTACTGCATGTTCTGTTCTTTTTGTGATTGTTTTTCATGAGTTTTTTGCCCTGCGACGCTATTCCGTTTGCAGTCCTGAGGAACATCTTTGTGGTTCATATTCCATATCTTTTGAGTGGCTCACTTCAGTCCCGCAGCATTTACTTGACGCTCCGCACTTGAGCCTTCCTACCACCGCTCATGGCTTCTTCTCGTGACCGCACTCCAGCCAAAACACTACAGGCACTGAATCTTTCTTACCAGGACGACCTCCCAGTTGGCTCCGCCCCTCTATCCGCACTCAACCAGACTTCCACTCACTCGACTGCTCACTGGATATCCTTTTCATGACTATCCAACAACTTCGCCGCCACCCACTCCACACGGAACCTATGCCGGACCTAACACATTTCCACGATCACAGAGCATACAACATCCTGTACCAGCTACGACGGGACATGGTGCTAATGGACCGCATAGTCGACAGCATTTACCAGGCACGACGCTTGCTCCAATTCGTCCCGGGAGAGCCTGGACTTCCAGGGCAATACCGCATTGACCCCACAGCACAACTCACCTCCAGCAACCTTGCCACACTTCACCATACACCACCCGGTTTCCCTGTGCCACCTGCCCACTCCGACCACTCACCTTCACCTTCTTCACCACCACGCACGCCCCCTGAAGATGCGCAGCGCTTTCACCATTACTGGACTGGCCCCCCACCACGTGACAAGACTGACCCCGGCCAGACCAATGACCACCGGGTCCGAGAGCGCTCACGCTCACGTGACGCCCGCCGGGACTAACTCCCCAACCTCGCCACAACAACATGCCTGACAGCAGCCTTGCGCGGAACACTTGCGGCCAGCCGCCATGCTCTCCTCCACTTGAGAACACTGTTCAGGCCGCGATTGCTGATCCGTATGTTTTCGTCTCACCGACAATCCAAGGCGAGTATTTTTGGCAAAACGTCAGCATCAGCGACTGGTTTTCTCTTTTGCCTTGTCCTTTTCTTTTTCGTTCTTGTTTTTCTCAGGACTTCACTTACCAAGCAGCAGCTGTGTTTTTACACCCGCAGCCATTTCACGATACCGGTTTCCCCTCCTCTCTATCCCTCATGACGGAGCGCCGCATTACCGACATGCTGCTGAGCGCTGATGCTTCGACTCCAACCTCACACTCCCCAGCAACTACCACCATACACACCGATCCACCCACCCCCCCACCACGGCTACCCACTAATCCAATGCCATACATGGCACCCTCAGCCACACATCAACCAGAACTACTACTCCTTTACTGGCTGATCGACACTATTGCAACACTGGTGGACAATCTCAGGCATCACCCCATTGTCCACGATCCCGTCCCCCCGATGTCCTTTTTCACGAACACACCAGCATACCGACTCTACCTCCAGCTCCGCAACACACTTCGCCATTTGATTACCACCACCCATGAAGCCCAGCGAGGGCTACGCATTTTCCAATTCCTGCCGGGTTCTCCCGGCTCACCTGGCCACTATCGCATGGATCCCACTGTGACTTTTGCACCGGGCCGTACCAACTACCTTTCCGATCACCCCCCTTCGACCTTTCCACAACCCCACACAACAGCTGACAATCCACCTCTGACACAACCACCCCTCATTCGACATCTTCACACCCGACATCGATCCAGATCTCGGGACCGCCTCCCCCTCACAACACCCACAAACCCAAACCTCTTGACACAACCTCGGCAACCTCTAGCAAACATTACCC